TGGATTAGGACTATTCTAGACATTCTTTGATCAAAATGTTCAGGTAGCTGGATTTCATCCAGTTCTCTGGTATTATGGTCAAGGCATAGAGACAATATCATCCTCCTTCCTTGTCTTTCCCTCCTCTTCTGTCGCTCCAGGTGAATGTTGTTATGTACCATTGGGTAGCTGAGTCTCCAGTGGGTTTTCAGAGGCAGTAAATTGCACAGGAAGAGAATGCCCATCTTTTTCCAGAGGAGCAGCTGGTGGATTTGAATTGCATACCTTTGAGTTGGCAGCACAACTCCTGACTACTACAATGCCAGAGCTTCAGGTGAATAGAGAGTTGATTATTGTACCTGGAATTATTGTTGTTGTTGTTGTTATGTGCCGTTGAGCCACTTGCAACTTATAGCGACCCTACGTACAACATCCCTGAACCCTGCTCTATCCTGTGCCAATCTTATTGTCTTTGACACACCTACTCCAATTGCCCCAGTCACTGACTAAATTTCTATCATCCAGGGTCTTCCTCTCTTGTGCTGTCCCTTCCCCCTCCCCTGCGTGACACCCCTCTCCATCCCTCTCCAAAGACTGGTCCCTCCTTGGAACATGTCCCAAGTATGTCAGACAAAGCTTCAGAATCCTTGCCTCCAGGGAGAAGCCTGGTTTCACTCCCTCCAGCATGAACCTGTTTGTTTTCCTAGCAGTCCATGGTATATTCAATAACTCTTCTCCGGCACCACAGCTCAAAGGCATCAATTCTCCTTCTATCATCCCTAGTCATTTTCTAGCTTTCTGATGCATAGCAAGTAATTGCAAAGACTATGGGTTAGATCAGGTGCACCTTAGTCTCTAGACTTACATCACTGCTTTTAATACTTTGGAGAGGTCTCTAACAGCAGACATTACCAGTGCAATTTGTCTTTTAATTTCCTGGCTGCTGGTACCAAGAGTGTTGACTGTGAGCCAAGCAAACTAAAGCTAAACAATCTAAATAAATAAACTAAATAATCTAAATAAACTAAATAATACCAATCTCTTCACCATATATCATGATGCTGCCAATTGGCCCAATGATGAAAATCTTTTTTTCTTGATGCTGAGCTTTAATATTGGAGGTTGCAGTACTTGACCTTTTATAGCAAGTGTTTCAGGTCCTCTTCAGTTTCAGCAAGCAGGATTGTGTCATCTACATAACGCTGATTGTTGATGAGGCTTCCTCCAATCCTGATGCCACATTTCTCCTCACAGGGCCCAGATTCCTGGATAATCTGTTCTGCATATAGATTGAAAAGGTATGGAGATAGGATACATCCCTGGTGTATACCCTTCCCAATTTTGGACCATGCAGTGTTTCCTTGCTCTGTTCTGATGACTGCCATGTTCTTGAGATCATTTTTAAATTGAGGTGGAATAGACTCAAAGCCATGTTTTTGTTCTTGTGGACTTGTTTTAATTTTCTTCAACTTCAGTGTTAATTTACACATGAGCATCTGATGATCTGTTCCATTGTCAGCCCCGGCCTTAGTTTTTGAGATATATATTACATATATACACATACTACATACCTTTGGGATTGTAGTGCAGTTTCTTATCACTAGACCACCAGAAGATAAACACACACACACACACACACACACACACACACACACACAGTTGTTTTTGTTGTTGATTGTCTTTGAGTCGAGCACGACTCATAGTGACCCCATGAACAAAAGGCCTGAAGCCCCTCTACAACCATCAACATTTATCAAATAAAGTTTCCAGAGGCATGTTATTTAGGAGGTGGGTGCCACTTCTGCTTCCAAACCTATTATAGCATGTTAATTTTTTTAAAAAGTGATTTGGATGAAAGTTTACAAAGAAATTAGTTTTTCATTTATTTATTCATACATATTTTGTTTTTTTTAGGTCTCTCCCTCCATTTCCTTACTCATCCAATCTGTAATTTATGTACTATTTCAGATTAATTATGATACACGTTTTTCATTTCCATAATCCATTCATTTCAGACTTTCCCCTCACATATTACAACATAGTGCTCATTATCTCCTTTTCTTGCTCTCCCAGTTCCTTCAACACTCTTATTTTTATAACAGTGATCTAATATAGTATTTGTCCTTTTGTGACTTAGTTATTTCATTCAGCATAAGGTCCTAGACTCAACTGTGTTGTGTAGTATCTTATGAGTTTCTCTTTCTCAATGCTGTGAAATACTCCATTATATGAATGTACCAATTTCTCTACCCATTTATTTGTTGGTAGGCATTTAGACTGCTTCCATCTCTTTTCAATTGTGAATAAAGTTGCAATAAACAAAGAGTGTGCATAAATCTATTTGTGTCTCAACTCTGATATATTTTATATTCCTGATTTCTTTAGGGTAGTGGAATAACTGCATTTAATAATATTTGTATTTTCAACTCTTTGAAGAAATGTCCTGGCCACATTTTGAATGGTGACATTGAGTTGCTTTATGGACTCTTTCCAAAGATGTAGTTAATCTGATTTCTGTATAGTCCATCAACTAGGTAAGAGTCATGTGTATAGTCATTGTGCATTTTTTTAAAAAAGTATCTGCATTGATTAAATAATTGTACAAAATTCTATCATCTGATCTCCATCCTCATTTCTGTCACCATATTTTCTTATTATCAATTCTTTTGTTTCTTATTTTACATTCCAGTCACTAATGATTATTAATGCATTTTGGCTGCATATTCAGTCAATTTCAGATCACAAAAGTTGGGAGGCATTCTCCATTTCTTCATCTTTGGCTTTAATGATTGGTATGTGTGTATATTTGAATAACAGCTGTACTAACCATGTATTCCTTGTTTCTGTATGGATAGGAATCTATCTTCCTTTTGAACTTTCTCATTGCTGATATTTGTGTTACTGTTGTTGATCATAGGCCCTGGAACTTGGCTAAATTCCTTTATTAGCTCTAGAGTTTTTCTTGTGGACTAGGGGATTTTCTACATATGTTGTTATGTACTGCTGAGTCAGAACCAACTTATAGCTGACCCTCCAGTAGGTTTTCAGAGGGAGAAAACTGCACAGGAAGAGACTGCCCATCCTTTTACTATGGAGCAGCTGGTGGAGTCAAACCACAAGCTTTTGAGATTGCAGTTCAGCTTCTTACCACTAGGCCAAATGAGCTCACTATTTTCTACAGATAGGATCACTATATCCACAACAAATAGTGATCATTTTACTTTTTTATTTTCACACCTGGAATTTTTTTTTTCTTCCTTATTACTCTGGCTAGGAGTTCTAATATACTATTGGGGGGAAAAAGTGATGAGAGTAAGCACATTTGTCTTGTTTATGATTTCAATGGGAAATCTCTCAGTCGTTCTCTATTAGGTATAATGTTGGACACTGGCTTTTCATACATGTCCTGAAGCATATTGAGAGATTTTCAAATATGTCTTGGCTCTTATTTCTTATATTCCTGCAGATTACTCTTTCTTAGACAAATGTCTCAAACGAGAATAGCTTTTGGGGAGTAATTTTCATACTGAATTTATCTTTAAACAATAGTAAGAATACAATAATATCCTATTACTTTTAAATTTAAGCTCTTGTACAGACTCATGACATTCCAAAGCCCAAGAACCTTAAGAGCCATCTGTAGATATGTAAGGTAGAAATATAAAGGGTGACAACACTGCCCTCTTATGGAAGCCAAGGACTGTGAAGGGCTAGAATTGCCACTAGGTCTTTCTCACGCTTATGCAAGATGGCTGGAAGTTGAGTCTCTCAAGGGGAGAACCAGGAAAAAACTGTCGAACACTTGCGCCAATGTTATAGTACTTCTAGCAGGAACCAAATAAGGGGGTTACACCAGGAATGCAGGGGAACTAAAGACAACCAATCCTGTAAGTACCTTGGCAGGGCTAGGCTATGACCAGTCTCACAAAACTGGGAGCCAATAAAGACAGTGCCTACCAGGGTTGTGCTCTTTGTCTGCTGGCATCATGCCTAGAGGTTTGACTCCACCCTAGTCTTTCTAGGAGTGGTGTTTTGGTGGGGTTTTTTTAGTAGGTCTTAGTAATTTATTTTGTCTTCTGCCTTTTTTTTTTAACAAAATTCGTATATATTGTTTCACATTTCCTTCACTGACATTATGCTTCATACAATCATTTCCATACATTTCAAAAATTAATCACCATTAAACTATGCCCACCTTTTTTTTTTCTTTTCCCTTTTAACTCTACTTTGTACCAGCTATACCTCTGTTTTATCATCCCAATAAACCTTTTTCACTTGTTTTGCTAAAATTGCCACATGTGTATGTGTACGTATTGAGTCACCTCAACTCATTCCCTTCTGGGACTAGTGAGTGGTGAAGACATAAAGATAACTCTGATTTTAGCATGTTTCAGGGATGAGCTCATTAGAGGAATAAAGAAGTCTCAGAGTCAAATGGTTAAGCTCAAGATTACTAGCTGAAAGGCTGACTGTTCAAATCCACCTAGAGGCCCCTTCGACGATAAGCCTGGGGATATACTTCACAGGCTCTGAAGACCCTCCTTTGGAGCATTTCTGCTCTGCACACATGGGTACCGACTCAACAGCCGCTAACAACAGCAACAACAATAACAAAGAAGATTGAAAGATTCATCCTCCTCACCTGTGAACCAAAGAAAAGTCTACTATATGGGAAAATTGAGTGCAAATTTCTTCCCAGCTAGCCTATCACATGCCTGAATTTTCATCTTTGAGACTGATCCATTAAGCCTTTGTCAACCAGAATTCTTCACCTGAACAAAACACAGGTTTTTAGCATGTCAAACTTTGTAATTTTCTCCTTAAATGAAATCTCGTTAGAAGTTGACTCATGCCATACACCATAGATGCCTTAGGATCTCAGGGTAAATGATAAAATCCACAAGCTTTTTAATCTGAATATCTTCTGTCCTATTAGGATAGTCGAAATTCATATTGAATAGAATATTTAGAGACAAATTATTAAAATCATGCTATTTACTTAAAAGGGTGAGTGGTCTTACCTGGCTTGCTGTTGGCCGTTTCTTTGGGTCCCAATTCAACATTTCAGTCATGAGCTGGATAGCTTCATTGCTGGCATTGGGGATGAGGGTTTTTAAATTTATGGGGACACACTGTGGAAAGCGGAAATTCATAGAAGATGCAAGTTGGTACCCTTCTGGCCAGTCACTCTATATAAGGCATTTGTGAGCAAAGAGGGGAAGCAAAAACAAACAGATGTTTTTACTAATTGATTTTAAATCATAGCAACAATATAAACATTACCCACATGTGAAAATGTAAAATGGTAATTGTACAGATAGGAGACTAAATTAGTAAACAATACTCTATTTTGAAGAAACACTGAACTGAGTCAGAATAACTGAGAAAGCACTTTTATAACATTAAACCATTAAAAAAGCATATGCTATTTTTGTCTTGATGATGCTGGTGAGGCCTGGATAACTCTGAACTAGTAAGGAGAAATGCTTTGCAAAGTGCTGGTTTATTATAAGAATCCTTATTATATAATTTCTGTTAAAACTAATGCCAAAAAATGCACATAGCTGAGAAATTACAATAATGTTAATGCTTTAATATATTGATGTTTACTTGCCTTATGTTAGCTACATGGTGCATATTAATTTAATTAGGCTGCAAGTACAAATAACACTAATTTGGTACATCTCAGAAAGTAAGGTTTAGCTGACATGCAATACTTTAAAAGTACTCAGAGCTAAAGAATAAAATATTGACAGCAGACTAGAAAAAGGTTAAGAGAAAATAAGATCCAGGTTACATGGGATTAATGAGATGTCAGTGGATATTCCCAAGGCAAGCAGGAAGAGACTCAAACACAACCATCATTGTATTAAACAATGGGTCACTTATCCAGTACACTATAAATTTATATACTTTTTAAAAAACTGTTCAGAATAAAAAATAACTTTTTTCATTGAGTCTACTTGAATTCTGTTTCTTACAATCCTTATCTCACTCCACTAAAAAATAAAGATTATAAGAAAACTAATCATTAAAGTAGAAATCTATTTGAAAATAAAAATGCCAACTATCTAGCCAAAAATTGCAATCTAATGTCATAAAATTAGAATTAAAGTATATACTTCTAAATGATTAAATGATATATGAAATAAATAGAGAGGCTAGAGGGCTTACCTTTTTGGGAGTTCCTAAAACTTGGCAAATTTTAAAGATTTCATCAACTTCACTTGTCCCTGGGAAAAGGGGTCGTAATGTATATAGCTCAGCCATTATACTCCCAACAGCCCACACATCAATGGGAGAACTATAAACTGAAGATCTTAATAAGACTTCAGGAGCACGATACCTATGCAAACAGAAAGCAAAGGAGAAAACACTCAGGCTATCATGTGTTTTAAATACAGATTGGCAGTAGGATTCTACTTTTCTCATACATTGAAATCAATATAGAGCTATCAAGTGACTTCTGCATAGCAGGCATCAGAACTACAATTTGCTGGTTTCATATCTGGCATAGCATTTGTCCTCTGACCACAGTCCACTGGAGGGGCTGCAGAGAAATATACATGCAATGTTCACACAGCCCAACATAGGAGCTCAAGAATATAGAAAGACGTACTACCTGATTTAGAAGGAAAAGAGGAAATTATTACATTACAAAGCTTCAAATGTGGCATATATTCATGTGATGGATGTACAACAAAACAAACAAAGATTATTATTGAGTGTATTTTTTTCAACTGAGTTTGCTTATTGGCTTGAAACTGTCAATTCCCTCAACTGACTCTTCTGTGGAGACCCGATTTGGGCTTGTTTCTTTTCCCCTTTATATGAATGAAAGTTTAACAATCATATTGATTTTTAATTTAATTTTATTATTTATTTTTTGTGTGTGTACCGTCAAATCAGATCTTACTGGCACAGGAGGAGATTGCCCCTCCTTCTCCAGCAGAGTATCTGGTGGATCCAAACTGTCCACCTCTGGGATTGCAGTGCAGCTTCTTGCCACTAGGCCACCAGAGCTCCCTTCAAAATCATACTGATTTTTAAATCAACGACTCACATTTTTTATAACATTAATTACCGTTACATCATAGCATTTTAGAAAAAAAAAATTCAACAAACCCCATCTTCTGTACAAGAGCAAAAGTACTGTGCAGTAAACCCAACTGAATGTCTGATAAATGTATAATATTCTTTATTTTAATTCTTTTCTGTATAAAAACAAGCAAATATTTCAGTCTAAATATTTCACAGTACCTCTGTAAAGTACTCAAGAGCAATGGTGTCTCTCTGGAGACTAAGGTGCGTCTGATAAAGGCCATGGTTTTTGCCATCACTTATGCATCAGAGAGTTGGACAATGACTAGGGAGGATAGAAGGAGAATTGATGCCTTTGAGCTGTAGTGCTGGAGAAGAGTATTTAATGTACCATGGATTGCCAAGAAAACAAACAGATTCATCCTAGAGAGGGTTAAACCAGGCTACTCCTTGGAGGCAAGGATTCTGGGGCTTCGTCTGATATACTTTGGACATGTTTTAAGGAGAGACAGGTCTTTAAAGAGGGACATTATGCTGGGTAGAGTAGAGGGACAGCGCAGGAGGGGAAGAACCTCTATGAGGTAGATTGATTCAGTGACTGGGGTAATTGGGATGGGTGTGTCAGAGGCAATGAGATTGGCACAGGATAGAGCATGGTTTAGGGCTGTTGTACATAGGGTCGCTATGAGTTGCAAATGACTCGACAGCACATAACAACAACAACAACAGCATCATTTTGCCTCCATTTGGAGAATCCTTCTGTAAATACTTTTATTTTTAAAACTTTCAAAAGTATTTTAAAAATACTTTTCTTTTTAAATACTTTTGAATATTTGTCAAATTTAGATGCTGAAAAATTTTAAGTATCCTCAATTTCCTTTTGTTCCAGTACAGAAACTAAATTTACCCAACTAGTAGAAGTTCCTTTAAAAAATTGTGCTAACAAGTTCTGAAATATAATTTTTAAAAAAAAAATTTAATTCTTATCACTTGCTATGGTCATTTCTTCCCTTGCATTTATAGGGAATAGTTTTAGTGTCATGTTTATAAGCTTTGTTTCACCTGATCCCATATCTAACATTAACAGGTAAGACAACGGAAGATGTGAGAAGCAATCAGTGGTAGCTTAAGAGACCTATCTTTACTTATTTTGATGATTTATTAATAGAAAAATTTCAAGAAAAAAGCAGAAAGTCCAGGATAAGTGCATTCTTAGACTGGACACTAAAGTAACAGGTATTGATTGAGCCAGTCTTAGGCAAATAGGGACATAAATCACAGGCCTCTTCTCTTCTCTAAAGGCACTTCCTTGGTGATTCATCTAATCATTTGGTTTCCAATATTGAGGACTCCTTCTTCTTCCTTTGACCCTGGACTCGTACATCTAACTTCCCATGTTGACATCTCTATAAGACAGTCAT